AAACACCCAAAGGTGGTGGGGATAGATTTGTAAAGGTGCAGTTTTTACAATTTATTGAAATTAAGTTAGTGTAAATTCAACTAAGAATACTTTTTTTAAATATAAAATCTGCATCATAACCACAAACAAAAACCCTATAAAATGGACAATATGTAATAGTAAAGAAATGTTGGCATTTCACTATAAAAATCAACTGAACAGGAAAGGGGGGTCAAAAAAGCTCTGAGGCATGTAGAAAACCAGTAGCATAATCATAGAAAACCATCCTTCTTGTCAATAATGCTTTTAAATTTAAAAGGATGATATTCTCCAATCTGAAGACAGACATTGGACGGACAGGTAAACACAAAGGATCCAACTGTATGCTGTCTACAAGACTCACTTGAGATACAAAAACACAGATAAGTTGAAAATAAAAGAATGGAGAAATATATTCCATGCACATAGTGATCCTGAGAGCAGAGGTGCTACACTAATTCATACAAAATAGCCTTTTTATTTTGCACCTAATGATAGGCCTTCAAAATATGAATCGAAAACTAACAGAACGGAAGGATGAAATATACATTTCTACATAATAGGCATTTCTCAATAACAGTGGGAGTCTTCAATACCCCACTTATAATAATGAACCAACCAACCAGACAGAAAGTAAATAAGAAAACAGAGGATTTTGCCCTGGCCAGTGTGGCTCAGTTGGTTAAGCTGTCACATACACCAAACGGTGCCGGGTTCCACTCCTGCTTAGGGCACTTACCCAGGTTGCAGGTTCAATCCTGGTTGGGGCGTGTATGGGAGGCAACCGATTGATGTTTCTCTCTCACGTCAATGTCTCGGTTCTATCAGACCTCACAGACACAGACAGAGCACTCTACCCCACAACAAAACACACAGGTCAGGTTCAAATGAGACATTTTCCAGGACAGACCATATTTTAGGTTAGTAATAGAAATTAACTTGTAAATAAATTAACCACAAATAAAGACATCATTAATAATATAACTACATTTGGCCACAAATTAGTATTAAATAATCAATAGTTTTAAAAAATAGATATCAAACTGTCTTGTGACCATATGGGATAAAGTTAGAAATCAATTCTCACAAGGTAGATTAGAAAATTCACAAAATTGTGAAACTTGAACAACACACTTTTAAACAACCACTGGATCAAAGAAGAAATCACAGGAGAAAATATAAATTACTTTCAGATGAATGGAAATGAAAACATCCCCAAACTTGTGAGACAGCAAAAACAGTGCCAAGGGGGAAATTTACAGATATAAAAGTTTATAATAAAAAATGAGATCTGAGCCCTTGCCAGTGTGGTTCAGGTTGGTTGAGTCGCCCTGGCCACTGCAAGGTTGTCACTTCGATTCCTGATCAGGACACAAACCCAGGTTGCGGGTTCAATCACCAGAGGCAATGGATCAATGTTTCTCTCACATACGCCATTATTTCTCTTTCTCTTTCTCCCTCTCCCTTTCTCTCTCAAAAATCAATGAAAACATATTTTTTAAAAATGAGATCTGAAATGAACAACCTCCCTTCACAACTTAAAGAACTAGAAAAAGAACTAAACCCAAAGCTAGCATATGGAAGAAAGTAATAAAGATCAGAGCAGAAATAAACAAGAAAAAACATTAGGGAAATGAATGAAACCAAAAGTTGGTTCTTTGAATTGAATTAAAAACCTTTAGTTAGATAGACTAATAAAAAAAGAGAAGACCCAAATTCAGAAATGAAAACTGGGGACATTAATATCAATTATATAGAAATATAAAATATTATAAGAATACTATGAACAATTTTTATGCCAACAAATTAAGTAACTTAGGCAAAATGGAAAAATTCCTAGAAACACAAAACCTGCCAAGACTAAATCACACAGATAAAGAAAATCTAAAAAGATCTATAACTGGTAAGGAGATCGAATCAATAATCAAAAATCTCCAAATCAGAGAAACCCCCTAGACCTGATGGTTTCATGGTGAACTCTACCAATATTTTAAAAAACACAAACATAAATTCTTCTCAAAAGTTTTTTGTTAAATTAAAGAGGATGGAAGTCTCTGAACTCATTCTATGAAACCAACACTGTCGTGATACCAAAGCTAGTCAAAGACACCATAAAAAAACGACAGGCACATATACCTTATGAACCTACATGTAAAACTCCTCAATGAAAGACTAGCAAACAGAATTGAACAGCATATTAAAAGTATTATTCACTGTGGCCAATTTATTCCCCGGATGCAAGGATGGCTCAACATATAACAATTAATTAATGTAATATGGCACATCAATTGAATAAAGGAGGAAAACTCATGATCATCTCCGTTGATACAGTAAAAAAATACTTGACAAAATTTAAAACTCTTTCATGTTAAATAAACATAATCTATAAACTAGGAAAAGAAGGAAACTACCTCAAGGCAATAAACGCCACACATGGAAAACCCATAACAAACATCATGCTCAATGGTAAAAAGCTGAAAGATTTTGAACAATACAAGGATACCTGCTTTTACTAATTCCATTCAACCCCCTACTGAAAGCTTTTCCAGAGCAATTATACAAGAAAAACAAACAAACAAAAGGCATCAAAATTGGCTAGGAAGAAGTAAAATTACCAGTGCTTGCAGATAGTATGATCTAATCTAATAGGTATAAAATCTAACGATTACAAACACACACACACAATCCTGTTAGAAGTAATAAATGAACATAGACCCCAAGTTAATATAAAAAATCAGTTGCATTTTATAGTGTATTCTACTTACTCTATAATGATTTTTTATAAATTTCCAATATCCCAATTATATACTATTATAAGAGCCCCATGGAAAAAAGGCTGCTATTAAATGCTCACTACCTCGTTTTGACATCTTCACCCCTTTGAAGCAGTCTCAAAAATAAGGCTTTCCCTTAAGAGATCATATAATATATATATATATATTTTACTGATTTCAGAGACGAAGGGAGAGGGAAACAGAAACATCAACAATGAGAATCGATTGGCTGCCTAAACATCAATGTTGAGAGAGAATCATTGATTGACTGCCTCCTGCACATCCCACACTGGGGACTGAGCCTGCAACCTGGACATATGCCTTGACCGGGAACTGAACAGTGACTTCCTGGTCCATAGCTGATGCTCAACCACCAAGCCACGCTGACTGGGCTCCCCTAAGAGATCTTGAGCAACATTATGGTCCAGGCTAACCAGGTCAACTTTTGTCTGGTTAACACCTGACAGAGTTAGCCTATATGATAAAAGCCTAATATGCTAAGTGTCCAGTAGAACTGTCAGCTGTTCAACCATTCAAAGTGCAATATGCTAGTGATATGCTAAGGCTGCTCAACCACTCGCTATGACATGCACTGACCACCAAGGGGCATACAGTCGACTGGTCAACCAGTCTCTATGATGTGAACTGACCACTGGGGGCAGACACTCCGACCAGTAGGTTAGCTTGCTGCTGGGTTCTGGCCGATTGGGACTGAGCGAGACAGGCCTGACACATCCTGGAGCTCTCCCACAGTCCCTCCCCGCTGGCCAACCTCCTGCCTCCCTCCCCAGCCCCGCTAGTGCACTGGTGGGGTGCCTCAGCCTGGCCTGCACCCTCTCGCAATCCGGGACCCCTTGGGGGATGTCAGAGAGCCAGTTCCAGCCCGATCACACAGGCCAGCCTGAGGAACCCCAATGATGCACAAATTCGTGCACTGGACCTCTAGTCTCAATATAAAGATAATTTTTGGCTGACAATTCTACCTCCCATTTCTATATGCCCTCCATCAACTCTGAAAGTTAGCCATTTTAAGTAGGGTGCAACTTGTTGTCAAGGATAAAGTCACCATGATTACTACATTTTTAATGTGAATGGTAGGCTTATTATTATATACTAGAGGCCCAGTGCACGACATTCGTGCACTGGGGTGGGGTGGGGGGATGTCCCTCAGCCTGGCCTGCACCATTTCACAGTCTAGGAGCCCTTGAGGGATGTCCCACTGATGGCCGGCAGTCGAACAACTTTGGTCCTGCCACTGCCACTGCGCTTGTCAGCCGTCGGCCCGGTTTCTGGCTGAGCGGTGCTCCCCTGGCTTCCTGCATTGAGCATCTGTCCACTGATGGTCAGTGCGCATCATAGCAAGCAGTCATTCCACTCTCTGGTCAATTTGCATATTACCCTTTTATTATATAGAACTAGAGGCCAGGTATACGGATTTGTATACCAGTGGGGTCCTTCAGCCTGGTCTGCAGGGGCTGATTGAGGCTGGATGGCTGGGGAGAAACTGTTGGAGGGCTCCAGGGCATGTCCGGCCGTCTCTCCCAGTCCCAATTGGCCGGACCCCAGCAGGAAGCTAACCTACCAATCGGAGCGTCTGCCCCCTACTGGTCAGTGGGCATCATAGCAACTTGTCGAACGAAGGGTCGGACACTTAGCATATAGTATTATACAGTTGTGCTTTACTTCAATGAAAATTCCTTTCTATTCATTACACATCTTTTCCGTCTCTATAAGAAGCCCATGAGTTGACTGGCTATAACAGTGGTTCTCAACTTTATTCATTTCAAACAGGCTGGATCCAGCCTGCGAGCCGTGGTTTGCCCACGGCTGCCTCAGACCATCGGAAAACACATATATAATTACATATTGTTTTTGTGATTAATCACTATACTTTAATTATGTTCAATTTGTAACAATGAAAATACATCTTGCATATCAGGTATTTACATTACGATTCATAACAGTAGCAAAATTACAGTTATGAAGTAGCAACGAAAATAATTTTATGGTTGAGGGTCACCACAACATGAGGAACTGTATTAACGGGTCATGGCATTAGGAAGGTTGAGAACCACTGGGCTATAAGTACAACTTCTCACACACAAAGCAAAATTAAATCAATATTATGGGAATACTTAGAAGAGAAGCAAAACAAAAATAACTTATTTCCTCTACTTACCCCTCATCACAAGAATAGTTAGCCTGTGAACCAAACTGAAAATTTCCTTCTACGCGGCCATGTAGGAACTCTGCTAGCTGTGGACACTGTCTTCCTGAAAGAAATTTTTAAAATTCGTTGTTTTATACAAACTCCAAAACAGATCTGAATCAAAACCAAAATTCCACATTGCTCTATTGTGAGAATAGTATTTTTCTTCCTATAACTATTAAAAGACCAAACTTAAGATTCACATTTACCCAGACAACCAATAAGAAAAATACATGACTATCTAAAACCTACATCCACATGAGAAAACCATCATTGTAGTAGAATATGCGGTCTAAAATGTATGAAAATCGTTAGAATAAAAATAAAAAGTCTTATGTACTTACTTGTACAGGCCTCCTGGAGACGAGGTGCCCATGTGCCATCAGGCTGACAAACAGTAGTGGTGAGACGAACAAGAGGAGCAATAAGCCTGTATCCTGGGCGACACTCATAGTCTACTGCGAACCCAGCACTTACAGGGGGCACAGGATTACCCTTGGCTTTCATAGAGTCATATCTTGGTATCTCATCACAGGCATCTGGGCATGAGAGAATAAGACATGAAAGTCAAGTATTTTCTCTTTTCCACCAGCCACGGATTCTGGCCTGGCAGCCGGCAGGTCCTTGGTGAGATTATGGTTTCTTAGGGAATAAGGTGAACATTCATTCAACAGTGAATTAAAGAGACAGCAGCATTAGTCTTGGTTTTCAACGTACTTATCGGTGTGCTTCCTTCCCCAGTTTTTCTCAGTTCATTTCACACTCACCTGTCCCCTAGCTCTAGGACAGGGGTGGGCAACCCCTGGCACGTGTGCCAAACATGGCACGCCAGTAACTTTTGCTGGCACGCGAAATCCTCCCTTATAATCTTCCATTTACAATTTTTTCCTTAATATCGACTTTTTAATTTTTCAGATAAATTCAGTGTAGGTGCATCTTAGATAAATAAATAATTTTACATAACAAGTTATCTTAAAGACCATAGACACAGATTGACGAGAGAAAATCTCTGTCATCAGTGATGCAGCAGCAAAAGTCCCACTGATAATATCAAACAGAGTCATAAAGTTTTCTGTCGGACTATCAGTGTACATGTATACATTAAAAAATAAATGTATTTTTCATCATCATATACTGTGTTTTTGTCGCTCGAATGAATTTTATTATTTCTTCAAAGTTCTTCACATACGTACGTAACCTTAAGAGATATCAAGTAGGCGTAACATGTTCTCAAAAAATTAGGGTTGGCACACAGAAGAATTTGAGTCAGAGATTTTTTTGCTGGTTTTGGCACGCACTCACAAAAAGGTTGCCCACCCCTGGTCTAGGACATCGTCTACAGTATGCAGCCCCAGATCAGGGTCCTGGTCCACAGTCTGAAATGCAAACTGATGGTGACATGTCACCTTAGGCTCAGCCTCCTCTCAGGAGGCAAGTTCCTAGAGGTCAGGGTCATCTGCCTTCTTTTCCCGCTACACTCTGCACCCAGTGGGTGCTCAAGACATGCTATGGGCAGAGGTAATTATGATTTAAGTATTGGGGTTTCACAGATAGAAATAATATGGACTCAACTAGTTCAAAATATAAGACTTCATATTAGCGAAGTGAGCATTTTTACAAGTGAGTGAACGCCATTTAAAATAAAATGGTATTACTTTGAAAAAAAGTCTGCTTTCTTAGCATTACTTTAACTACACAACTGACCCTCGAACAGTGTGGCGGTTCGGTTCAGGACCCCCCGCCCCCAGTTGAAAGTCCGCAGATGACTCTGAGTTCCCCAAAACTTGGCGGCCGGCTCCCCAACCCGCTGCAGCCCGCTCCGGGAGCGCACCCCTCCCCAGGCCCCTACCGGTGGGTGCGGGAAACCGGACCGCTAGGGTCACCAACAGGATCCCAGCGGAGCTCCAAGAAGAGAAGGGACGGCGAGGAGGTGCCGCTCGCAGCCGGCGAGAAGCCGTCATTTTCGGGGAGGTGAGCAGGGGAAACGAAGGGCGTCGCCCCACCTGCAACCCTCAGACTTACAAAACCCAGCAACCCACAGACTTACAAAACCTAGCAACCCACGGACTTATAAAACACAGCAACCCTCAGACTTACAAACCCTAGCAACCCACAGACTTACAAAATCTGGGAGGCGGAGCGGCAGCTGGGCACGGCCTGGGCCACGCCTGAGCGGAAGTGACGCTTCGGCGGGCGGGCCAATCGCGGGACGCTAAGGCGGGGCCTCGGCCCTGGGCGGAGCCTTAGCCGCAGGGAACGGGGCGTGGCCTGGCCGCGCGCTAACCCAGGGGTCTGCTGGCCCCTGGGGCTCTGCCCGTGCCCCGCGTCAGGCTGACCATTCTCCATCTGCGCAGGTTTGAGGGAAATGCTGGTGCACTGCTTATCGGCTTACCGAGGTCTCCAATCAGAAATCTGTTGGTCTATATGTTCACCTCGTTCTTTTATTTGTAACATTAACCTTTCGTCCATATGGGCTCGGCTTTGTTGAATGACATGAGGCAGGGATCTAATTTCCTTTTTCAGATAGTTGCCTTCTTATTTGCATAATTCCAGTTTTCCATGACTTGAAATGTCATGTTTATTGCGGCCGAAATCTTACCCAAACTTGTGCTTTTTCTTGGGCTCTGTTTTGTTCTATGGGTCTATATCTCTATTCCCGCATTATGTCAATTATTTTATTCTTTGAAATAAATATTAACAGCACTTCTGTTTTGTAATCGCATAACATTTACAAGTATGTTGTTAAATTTAAAAACAATGCCGTTGGACCTCTGATTGAAATTACATTAAATCTGCACACTAATTCAGAAATGACTAACATCTGTTGAACAAAATTAACCTTGACAGTTGGCACCAATCTTTGAACAAAATGATTTCAAAATAACTTTCTATACTAATAAAATGTATTTTAATTTCATTCTAAATTTGGAGATTTTATTTAAAAAATCACTTATCCCCCTCAATATTGCCAGAAATACTGTGTTGACTTGCCCTGTAAATGCAAATGTTAAAAACAGACAAAATGTTCAGACCCAAAATCATACCCATTTCAAAGAAGCATCTTAGGATGGTGACTATATTCAAGCTACATTGCAATGTTAGCTTCATGTCTTAACAGTTGCATTCATGATAGGAAAGAAAACTAGACGTTCCTTCCTAAATCTTTTCTTCTTCCAATTTTTATTGAGATATAATTGCCATAGTGTATAAATTTGATATATAGCATAATTACTTGACAATGTGTATATTGTGAAATAACTACAATAAATTTAATTAACATTCATCACCTCACAGTTATATTTTTTCTTCCCTGTGATCAGAATTTTTAATATCTATTTTCTTAGCACCTTGCCAATATACAGCACACCATTACTAATTATAGTCACCATGCTACATTAAATTCCAGTACTTACTTAATTTATAACTGTTGACCAACTTCATCTAATTTCCCTGACCCCCTAACCCAGTCATGGGCAAACTACGGCCTGCGGGGGATTGAAATGAATAAAACTAAAAAAAAAAAAAAAAAAACCGTACCCTTTTATGTAATGATGTTTACTTTGAATTTATATTAGTTCACAAACACTCCATCCATGCTTTTGTTCCGGCCTTCAGGTCCAGTTTAAGAACCCATTGTGGCCCTCGAGTCAAAAAGTTTGCCCACCCCTGCTAACCCCTGGCCCTGGCAACTACAAATATTTCTTTTTGTAGGAGTTTGGTTTTCAGATTCCTATCTGTGAGGTCAACAGTCTTTGTCCTTCTCTGTATGACTCAGTTCACTTAACATAATGCCCCCAAGGTCCAGCCATGTTGTTGCAAATGGCAGGACATACATAAATAACCTTTTCTTTATCTAGTCACACTTCGATGGACACAGGTTGTACCATGTCTTGGTTATTGTGAATAATGCTGCAGAAATCTTTTCTTAAATATTTTTACTGATTTTAGAAAAAGAGTAAGGGAGAGGGTAAGAAACATCCATTCGAGAAAAACATCAACCAGCTGCATCCTGTATGTCCCATACTGAGAATCACACCTTACAACCCAGGCATGGGCCCTGATCTGGAATTGAACTGTGACCTTTTGGTACATAGGTTAATGCTTAACCACTGAGCAACAAGGGCCAAGTGTAGAATCTTTTTATTCAAATACTTTTTAAAATAAAAATCCACTATATGAGATAAATGAGCATTAATATAAATTTAAGAAACATTTATTTGATAAAACAATGAAGGTATTTGCAGACAATGAAAATCTAAAGCTGCATTTTTCTTTCTTTATTCATCACCTGAGGATATTTTTCCATTGATTATTAGAGAGAGTGGAAGAGAGAGGGAAAGACAGAGAGAAACATCAATGTGAGAGAAACACATCAAGCACCCTGACCAGGGACAGGGTGAGGGAGGAACCTACAACCGAGGTACTTACCCATGACTGGAATTGAACCTGGGACCCTTCATTCTGCAGGCCGACGCTCTATCCACTGAGCAAAACCGGCTAGAGCTAAAACTTAATTTCTAATTACAGCTATTTTATATTAATGTCAGCATTCATTAAATTAACTGTGAGCACTTCTGACACGTTGAAGCTCACAACAGTCTGAAAACTGGTTGGTTTTAGCCTCAAGGAATCCTAAGAAATCAAGTAGAGGGGACTTGGAGACCCTGACTGCCCTTCTAGTAGGAATGTTTGTCTTCACCTTTGTCCCTGAGATTAAAGACACCATTTTGTTTTTACCAAGAAATTGCCTTTCCCACTGGCCTTTGTAGAATCTGCTAAAAAAAACCTCTGGATTGTAACTTAGAGTAACTAGCTCCCCACATTATATACGTGGTAGAATATATATCTTCTTACCTCATGGCCATTTTTCATCAAGTGATTTAAATATGTTTAATAATCTTAAAAATGAGTACTTATGGTATTTTTCTACTTTCGTACTTATACTTAGGCTGCAGAAAGGTAATTGTATGCCAAACCTTCATAAGTTCACATCAAGGCATATGGTACCAGGTTTGTTGGTTTTTAATGATTTGTCTTTATTTATTTATTTAGTCCTCACCGGGGATATTTTCCCATTGATTTTTAGGGAGAGTGGAACAGAAAGGGAAAGACAGAAATATCATTGTGAGAGAAACACATTGATTGGTTGCCTCCTGTATGAGCCTTGACCAGGGCCCAGCCAGGGAAGAGCATGCAACTGAGGTACATGCCCTTGACTGGAATCGAACCCGGAACCCTTCAGTCCACAGGCCGACACTCTATTCACTGAGCCAAACCGGCTAGGGCTGGTACCAAGTTGTAACAGCAACATTTGCTTCTCTATGCCTAGTACCTTGCTTCCAGAGTTACCCTTAGGAATAAAGAAGTATCTCTATACATGTTAGAGTCTCATAAATTAGTTTCTAAAGTGATGGCAGCCTTTTTTTTTTTTTTGAGGGGAGATTATGGACATTAAACAGTGCAGAGAATGTAATGGAAATCTTAACTTTCCCTAAAGGAAAGGAGGTAAAGCTAAGTGTTACCCCACCTCCTTTCTGGAGCATGTACACAAGATGAGGAGTCTTTAAAAAATCCAATGACCTAAAACAGGAGGAACATTTGCTCATAAACTTGAAGGTGCTTATTCATATTTCAAGAACACACGCACCCACGGTGGTCTCCACCTGGTTACTCACAGGCGTCCCGGCCCAGCAGCAGCAGCACTTGGAGCTCAGCAGACACGGACCTCAGGTCAGTTGTGGTCCTGAGCCTGGAATCCAGGGCTACCGCGCTCAGACACCTCTTCACCTTTAATGAGCCCTTACCTGGTAGCCAGAGGGTTTGATTCAGGTTTGTTTAAGAACCTTTAAGAATTCTGATGCAGTGATGTTTTAAAGAAAGTAAGGGACACAAACCTGTCTTTGCTTTCTTTAGAAATTATTTCTACATCAGTTGTTTGGAATTGTAAAAATATTCCACTGAGAGCATTTCCTACTCAGACTGCTGTGTATATGTCGTGTTAAAAATACACTACAAACAGAGAAATCAAAGACGCCTATCATGAGTTCTACAATATGATATAAGATTCAAATGAAGGCACTGTGGGCATTTTAAAAAGATAACCAATATTATAAAAAGAGTTTAAGCTCTTTATGAATGAAGAATGTACTCTTATTACGTAGCCCAAACCCAATGATTAATATAAAAGACATATTATTAAACCACAAATACAAAAAGTCTTAAACATGATTAGTTTGATTTCAAAACTATCTCCAAAATGACAGGGGAAAACAAATGGCTGAAAGTCAAATATTTCAGTCTTCGTCTATGCTCCAGGTGTTATTCTAAATCTTTCATTACATTGTAAATGATTCCATTAAAATTTAAGTGCGATGCTTACAATTCCCATTCTCCTTAGAAGATATATATTTGTACTTTTTTTTCTATTTTAAATTTCCCCTTTTCCATTTTTTTATAGATAAAAAGGCAGATAAAGTTAATGAGGTGCCTTGGTAATTTACCCCTCTCAGTAACTTTAGGTTTAACCTTGAGCTTTACTGCAACCTAGTCAAGTTAGGAGAACATAAGAGGAAAATCCAACAATGTTGTTTTTAATTCCCCACTTTAACATGTACAAATAACATCTCTAAATGAAAAGAAATCGAGTTTTCAGGAGAAAAGGTGTCTTATTCATTTTAAAATGAGTAAGACACCTACATGACTTCTTACAACTACTTCAGATATACAGACACAGGGAAGCTTGCCTCCAAAAAATTACAGTGAATAGAATTGTCAAAGTCTCCTCAGGGAACTATTTATTTTTAATTTTTGTAGTTTTATTTTTTAAATATAATGTTATTTATTTCAGGGATGAAGAGAGAAGGATAAAGAGCTAGAAACATCAATGTTGAGAGAGAATCATTGATTGGCTGCCTCCTGTATGCCCCACACAAGCCTGCAACCAGGGCATGTGTCCTGACCAGGAATTGAACCGTGCTCTCCTGGTTCATAGATTGAAACTCAATCACTGAGCCTCACCAGCCAGGCACACAGTGAACTATTTTAAATTTCC